TTCGTATAATTTATTTGTATTTAGTTTTAATTGTATTTAAATTGAATGCAAACCCAAAGGGAGTATTAAATCATGAAATATAGTGAACTGTATTTCAGTTCATTACTCGTATTTCTGGTGAGTATTGTTATAACGAGCTGTCAGTACACTATTGGGGGTCTTATGGTGTCTATACTGTAATGGATGGACACAAACGCCTCTTAAACCACTGTTTCATCCATTGATTGATTGACACAAATGTCTGTCACTTGCCTTCAGAGCCGAGTCGTGGCATCCATTGAGCTGTCAGTCGACGAGTGTCTGGCCATCGGTTACCGGAAGTCCGACCTCTCGTGCCTTCAGTGCGAAGAACTCATTAAATTCGAGTTGTTTTCGCTGAAGGACTCGTGTCTGAAGTGCTGTTCCAAGGATTCCGGCGATGAGTCCGTCAAAGTAGGCCTTAAGACACCATTCGGTGGCTAATGACTAACGCATTGTCTTATTGTCTTCTCGTGTCCACAGAAGTACTCGTCGGCGCGACTGGAGGTCTGCGGATGAAAAGTGGGACACTTTCCACAAATCAATGGTAATAAGCGGTCGAGTGATCGGTGAATGCGTGGAAGCGGTGACCGACTAATCGATTGTCTCTTTGTTTTCGCGGACATAGCGTTCATAAGAGGCGACAAAAGCAAGAAATTCCCGAACCTGTCGGTGAAGTACACGAGAGGCGCCGAACCGGTCATCAAACTGTTGGACGCCGAGGGCCAAGAGGTGGATGAGCTGAACATCCAGAAGTGGGACACCGATACCATCGATGAGTTCCTCGAACAGCACTTGGCGTAAGGCATAGGCATTGGCGACGGCAGTGGAAAGTGTCAGCGGATTCACTGGACTCGCACTTCGCGTCCACTCATAATGACAGCGATTATCAAGAAATCCATCGATTCGTGGAATTGATTCGTTCGATGAAGAAGTGGTCGTTTGGTGTGTCCTTTGAATCCAATCAATGATTACATGAAATAAAAACGAATTTTTATTTTCCCAAAAAAGTTGTCGTTATTTTTGCCGTCATTTATGTATCGAAGGTTTACCACTGTTTTGACTCGTGAGGCAGTGTTTGTGTACAAGTGGTGAGTGAAGTGCGGATCAGTTGATGATAAGCGATGACCCAATCAGCGACTCAATCGGTGGCTCAAGTGAAACATGAGTTGGATATCAACTCACTGTCGCAGTCATTACACACATCACTACTCGTCACACATCCACAGCCAATGCCAGCCCTCGACACTGACTTTGACTTGAAGTACAGTTTGTAAGCAAATTATCACTCTTTCAGTCATTCAGACATTTGTTTCATTCATTGATATTAAGACCGCTGACGAAAATGCAGGCGAATCCCATCGTCCAAGAGTTGGACACAATCCGCCATTTGGTACACAAAGTGCTGGTCGAGACCAACGACGCCAGGTATGAGACAATTGACACGCAATGGGAGGCGTCGATAATCAATCGCTTCGGAGTGTCACTAATGGGTTCGGTATACCGCCGATGGGTCGCAATGGGGGCGCCGGTGGTGTCGGTGCCGGCGCTGATGACAACTCCTACCTGTTGGGCGCCTTTTCCATACCGCAGGAGGCCTTCAATCCGAATCACTTCCAGCAGATGCTGCAGTCGGTCATCACAAACATGGGTGACATCGGCCGCAACGCGACAGTCATGTCGCGCACCTCCGAAGACGGCTCTTCAGTCGACGTACAGATAAATTTGGCTCAAATGCCGGCGCAGAACGAGTGCCGACAGCGGGTATCGCAGGCCATGAGATTCGTCGGGTATATCAACGCCTTGATTGACGTCATCGAGAGGCCCGACGCCATACCGGCCGGCGTGGGAGTGGCCGTCAGCACCGGTAGTGCCGACGGGAACGCCAATAATCTCATCAATGGTTTCAGTTTAGACGCCAATAGTATGGGTTCACTGGAGGCACAGTTGGCCGCACAGGCGGCCGCCCAGTCCTTCGCCGCCGTCTCCAACGGGTTCGGTATACCTCTGGTCACCGGCTCTCAGATCATAATACAGGGCCCGACAGTCACTCAGAGTCACGGCTCTGGTATTCATATACAGACGCCGATAGTGCCGAACCCGTCGCCCAATAACGCCAGTCCTACCAATACGACGACCACTACGACTACCGGTGCCAACAGTACTAACCCTAACCGACCCACTGATGGTCAACAGCAACAGACTGTGACTCCCGTTGTGGCCGCGGATGTGAACCAACTGTTGACGACTGTCTTCCAAACCCAAGAGAGGCTCAGACCTCACGTCCAAAGACTGCAACAATTGATGACAACTGAGGGACAGTTGACTGAACAACAGATAAGCGAAGCACAGAGTCTGCAGCGGAACTGTATGCGAGCCAACCATCACTTGGCGCACGTGTTTCATCTGATCAGTGACTTAGCCATCCAATGGAATACTCCGAACCGAACCGTAGGACTCATCCACTCGATGGTCGGCCAACCATTCGTCGGCCAATCGGTTCCCGTTTCGTTCGCCACCCGACAGACCGGCCAAAGGAATGGCACGCAATCGACGGACAACATGTCGACGACGACTACACCGTCCACTCAATCGCCGACAGACACGACACCATCGGCACCGACAGCCGCCCCTCAACCACAACCCCAGTCCACACCAACGGCTTACCCGCGATTCGGTGCCAACGTTTCGGTCGACCCCCAGACGGGCGCCGCTGTGTTCTCGCAGACGACACCGATTGTGGTGATGGAGTTGGGGTCGACTGTCCATCAGATACCTGTTCCCAACCCTAACCACTAATACTACTAACGATTCCCAAACCAATGGTTGAAATACATGTTTGAAGTGATAGTGACTGCATTTGAAGCGATTGATGGAGTCCTCCCTTTCCAGTGTACTGTCATTAGTGCTAACCTTTCTCTCTCTCTCTCTCTCTCTCTCTCCCTCTCTCTCTCCCTCTCACTGACAGAGTTCGGCGCAAACTGTTTCTGGTGACCAGGGGTTTAGTGAATCTTCAGGCAACTTATCAATCGTTCGTGTCGTGTGAAAACGTGGCACAAAGGGATCGCAGAGAACAGAAGTATCACAACATGATAGTCGAGACGACGGCACACGTAGTGCGAGCCCTTCCGCACCTTCCGGTTGACCATCCGGTGGACGGAAATGTGAGACAATTGTAAGCAAAGAGACCCCTTTTATTGCAGTACTATTGACACCATTTATATACTTTTGTTTAGTGTTAGGAATGTGTGGAACGAATACAAACAGCGATCTGAAGAATACTTTTATAACATGTAATCATTTGAATTATAATTTCTCATTTTCACTGATAATTAAATAAGTTATTGAAATACATATCAAAAGAAATATTTTATTTGAATTTCAAATACAAACAAATTGCGAGACAATAGAGAAAGTGATTTAAATAATCAAATGTGCGGTCAGTGTGTCTACGATGCGAGTGTCCGTCTGTGTGTCCACTCAGTGGCCGGCAGTCGTCTCCTCCACTTCAACGAGCGGTTCGCTATTCAACGACCCCTTCGTCTTCGACACCGACGAGTGAAACGTCGCGTAACTATAGGAGCCGTCGTTGAGTCCGTCGCCACCGCAACAGCCGTTGCTTTTGCCGTTAATGTCGTTGTTATTGCGCTCACGAGTGAGACACCCGTTCTCAGAGTGTTGGCCACCATTGGTCTCGTGGTTGTGGTCGTCAGTGATGTCACACTTGGACACCGAAGTCGTCCACTCATTGGTCTCTAAGTCCAAGAACTCGACGGTATTGAGGAATGCTTTGCCGTTGAATCCGCCGACGGCTGCCATTGGGAGCGAACATCACATCAATAAATGGCTACAAATGAGTGCCAAAACACGAGTCAATGCCTACCGTAAAGCCGTTTGTCGACGACAGCGACGCCTACGTTAGCCCTACAGCTGGTGAGTGGGGGTCCGGACGTCCACTGATCGGTGTTGGGGTCGTACACCTCAACGGAACAGAGGGCCCGCACGCCGTCGTGACCGCCGATGGCGTAGATCTTGCCGTTGAAGGCGACGACACCGCAGCCCCGGCGGGCCGTATGTAAGGGCGCTATCGACTGCCAACCCGTGCCAGTCGTGTACACTTCGGCGCTGTTCAGACACGTCCACGAATCGCAACCTTTTGGGTATCAATGGATCAGATGTTTAGTGGTTAAGCATATGGGGAACGGTAGGTAAACACACAGACCTCCCACGGCGTAGATGTTATGGCCGAGCACTGCGACACCCGTTTGATAACGACCTGACATTTTGAGACAATAAATGCGTTCATTGTTTGATTCAATTGAATGCAAATGAGTGTCAAATGCGTTACCGGTGTTGAGGGCTTGGATTTCGAGCCACTCCTGGGTCTTAGGGTTATAGACGTCGCATCGGGTGAGCCCTCTCTGGCCATTCCAACCGCCGATGACATACACATTGCCCTCAAGACTGCAAACGCCTGAAAAGCAGAACCCATTTGTAAGAGTGTTTGGGACAGAAGCGCGCGTTTGCCGTATATTTATAGCAATTATTTGTTTCATGTTTTTAGTCAAACAATCAGTTCAATGGTAAGGGTTGGCACCAAATATGTGGCATATTTTATGTCCATTTAGTGGATCTGTTAGTCATTATACTCACCGCCCGATGAGACGGCGCTCACAGGTCTGAACATTGAGTGACAACACAAATGTAATCCAGAAATTGATACTCAGTTTCAAAGGTATAGTTAATTATCGCAGATATCAGGGATAACTCTTAAGACATATATAGGATAGCAATGAATGGAGTGATTAAAGTCTGGATGACATGAGTGTGACGGTTGAGATCAGATGAACATAGAGTCACATCACTCGAGATATCAGTGATAAGAGGGCTGACAGTATGTGTGCGCGCATTACACACATAACACACACACCGCACATACCTCTTAAGTCCAAAGTAGTCTTAACCTGAAATCATAGAAAATACGGGAAACATATCATTATATTCTTAAGCGTATAATAAATACTAACGAAAAATAGATAGAGTGTGAGAGAGAGATAAATGAATAGACATTGAAATTACAGTTTATAATACAAATGAATTAAAAAAGTAAATCAAAAACCGAATGTCAATAGTGTTGTGTCGCGAACCGCATAGAGTTCTCAATGGACTGCAAAACAGAAAACTGTGAAGATTTGTGGCAATATATAGGGGATAACCATTGGATGCCAACCACAACAGTACTTACCGGAAGCAACACATTAACCCAGTTCTTAGCATTTTGTCATTTTTTGCTCATTAAGTATTAATGTCTCGACTTATGTCTTACCGGCGTTGGAACGGACGACCGGACAGTTCGGTATGGATGTCCACTCCCGCGACACCGAGTCATACATTTCAGCCGAATTCAGTTCGTTCTGACCGTCACATCCTATCCGCGCATCAATACAAACAACCCATTAATGCGAACCATTCAGTGGACACACCATAGGAGACATACCTCCGATGGCGTAGACATTGTCGTCGACGACAGTGATGTCGAAGCGGCCGCGCGGGACAGACATTGGATCCAATTTATGCCATCTATTCGTCTGCTCGTCGTATACCTCAACCGTCTTCAGACACTCGCCCCTATCGTAACCACCTATACGTCACACAAACAGACACTTCTCGTGAGTCACTGGACAGGTGTGTGTAGTGGACAGATATGCAACACATACCGCATACGAATAGCTTTCCGGCGAACATAGCGGTGCCGACCGCACAACGGGCCGAACTCATGGGCGGAATGAGGCAATAGAGCTCCGGCTTCTCGAGCGAGTGGTGACGCGAATTGTTGGGCGAATTCATCGGCGAATTGATCCTCAACTTCACCGTCAGTACGAATAGTTTGCCGGAAACAATGATCAGACCGATCAGCGTATGCTTACCGCCGACGCAAACCGACAACACCTTCCAGTCGTTCTCATTATCGTCGTCGGCCAACGAGGACAGGGATGACTCGGAGTCGGATCGCGTAAACATGAATTGGCGCGACTTGGCCGGCAGCGCCGAACCGTTGCTTTTGCACGGCTTCTGGTGGTTGTGGTGTCCGTTCTGACCGTTTGGGGCGCCTTTCGCCGCCTCTTTGGCGGGAAACGACAGGCGCCGCGACTCTCGCTTATAGTCCTGAATGAGGTCCGAGTCATCAGTGGTCCCGCTCTCGATCTCATTGCAGTCGTGCAGACGTTTGTCCAGTTTGTTGACGAACAGCATAAACATCTTCTCGCAAATGTTGGTCGCATTGAGGAGTTCCCTATCGAACGACGCGCGGATCCACTCGACAACCATATTGAAGGCGTGCTTCTCGTTGATGGCGGCCCTCTCCTCGTCGCTGTTGAGGAGGACCTCGACCTGCACTTTGGGCAATGCGTCCAAACACTTGTTCTGCACGATGTCCGGCATATTGAGGCGGATGTAGTTGTCGACGGAGGCCAACAGGAACTGGTCGTTCAGTACACCGCGAATGGAGCGCACGTCCAGACAGTTGTCGGCCGTCAGCGACGACAGCAGGTATTGGCCGCACTCGTAGGCTATGGAACTCATCTTCAGGCGACTGGCGATGCCGTAGATGTCGCGGACCTTGTCGACGGGCACCTCCAGGCGTGCGGTGTAGGCGTAGTCGATGATGCAGTCGAACGCCTCGATGTCGTAGTTTCCGCTCAAGAGTTTGTACTGTTGGACACCAGTGGCGGTGGCCGTCGAGTCGCTCGAGAACAGCTCCAGGAGGTAGGGGCTGGCGCTCGACAGCACCACTTTGTGGGCGTATATCTCGTGAACGTCCTGATGGTTACCAATCTATTGAACGGTACGACAAAGTGATGATTAGATCACAGATAGATAATAGCTGTCACTGGAGTTATTCTTTGGCAGAACCGATGGTAAGTGCGGTGTCTGTCATACACACATTCCAGTCGTTACTATAACCCACTGTTGGTCACCGAATGTCCATCGAATTGGACACTCGATCAGAAAATGGGTTTTCCTATCACTGTATTTAAGGCACGGAATCGTGTCGATAATTACCTGAAGGATGACATCACAGAACTGCTTATTCTTGCGCAACATATTCAGGTTATCCAACACATTGTTGTGGTACTCCTTGTCCTCAAACACATACACATTGGATCCCTCGGCGTCCCGGAGGCTCTCCGAACTGCCACTCATTGTCGACACCATTGTTCTGACGATAATTACAAGCGAATCGCTTCCGAAGACTTTTTAAACTCCAAAAAATGGATTAAAATATTTGTTGCAATAAAAACTGATTATGACTTTGAGGTTAAAAACAATTAGTTGTATAAAAATCGCGACGATTTGGGAATCACACGATAAAAGTGGCGACGAGTGGTATCACTGCAGAGGAATATAAAGACAAAAAGAGATCATTAAGACTTTGAATGACTGAACCCTTTCGGAGAGGTTTAAGTACCGGTTTTTCATCCAAAAAAAGTCACACAAAAAAGTTTATATAAAGTATTGAAAATGAATTTAAAAAGTAGGAAAACGTGCTCTCAGTCTCGGAGCTACCGGTGCACTCGGGGGTACATGTCATACGACTGGTACTAAAAGGTATGTTTGAAAAGGTAAGACGTGATCACAAAAACTACACTAAACTACGAGCCAATCATTGGAGTGGAAAAACACTCTTAAATTCAATAATGTTTTTCAAACATTCAAAGTAGTGGTAAATATAGCCTTCGATAGCATCCAAGGGCTTGAATGTCATAAAACGCCGGCTTTTATTCAACGCACAATACTTTTCGCATTAATTTTGCGATTTTATTAGCGATTAGATGTTAAAGACATTGGATTTCATAATCGCATAGAATTTACACAAAATTACATTGTAATAAACGCATGAAATATCTGTCATTGGATTCAATACTATAGCTATGAATTCAT